AACCTGCTTTGTCTGGCAACGTCGCCAGCTGAGAGGCCTCGTCCTTGGACAGGGCTGGGACGCGGCCAACTGGCAGCGGGGGGCCCTTGCCGCGTCCACCTCCTCCACCTTTGCCGTCTCCAGCTCCAGCAGCCTGAGGGGGGCCTTGGCCAGCGCTACCTCCAGCTGGCTGCCCACCAGGCTGGCAGCCTCCCTTGCCGTAGCCGAACCAGAGGTCGGAGTGGCCGCGCGAGCCATTGTCCAGGAAGTAGCCAGGAGGAGGGGGCCACTGACCGCCATAGCCATCTTGCACACAAGGGACAGCAGCAGGGATACTAGGCAGAGTGAATGGCAATGCTTACGCCACTGAGCCGAGAGCGCATTCTTCCGACATCCGCACGCTGTGCGCCGAGAGGTCGATGCTCGAGGTGGCGGCGGCGGCGGCGGAGGAGGGGCTGCAGTCCCCTCCCCGTTGACATTGTTCCACGCACCGCGCCAACTGGGAACAGGGGCCATGGGCTGGGCAAGAGAACTCTGGGTGTAATCGTCTTGAGAAGTGCTTCAACAGGAGCTCGCAAATGCCGAGACCTCGTCTGACCTGGTACACGAGCGGATGCAAGCGGGGGCCGTCTCTCCCCCTTGCCAGAAAGGCCAGGTCCTGAGCCGAATCGCTACGGACTTGAGCCAAAATGGCCACGGAGCTGAATTCCCCCCCCCGCTTCTTTTCCGCGAACCTCCGCGTTCTTCGAGTGCCTGGTCGGCGCCCATATCCTTAGTGACCCCGCGCAGGCGCGCGCTCCACGCTGGCCCGGGAGATCCTGGAATCATAAGACGCGATGTGCAATGATCTTTCCCGGGCCAGGCTAATGCAGGCCCGCGTGCGCGCTCATTTCGGCCGTGCCCGACCCCGCCAACCTCTGCGCCTCCATCTGGCTCGTTCTCAGTGGCCCAAATTTCCTTGGGCTGGCAAATTCTTGCAGACCACCCAATGCGGTCATCGGCCGTTATCTGTTCAACTAGGCCCTCAAGTAAAGCTCGGCAAAGAAGGTGCGTTTATACGGCTGGCCTCCTCGTATAACTCGCCATTTCGGTGCTGAACTTGATTATCTGCACTGGGCGCTCTTCGGATGTAGGAGACGTGCGCCATGGGCCGCGCGCGTTTCTTCGCGTGCCCATCCGCTTATCTTGACGACTGCGTAGAATTATGACAGCGCAGGTCGCCATCGCGCGCCTGGGCGTCGTCGCGCTTACGCGTGCTCGGTCGGCATTGGCGACGCGGTCCAAATTGAGGCACCCGCAGGATATTCGAAGAAAACCTATAACCCATGATTCCTCTGAGCCTCACATAGCCCCAACGCGTAGTCGAGCCTTTTCCCCCGCGGTTCCCGGCCCAAGCCGTTTCGAGCTCGAGTCTTGTAGCTTGCAGAAGGCGGCGCGCGTTGGACTCGAGATTCACATTGTGGCTGTGGCGTTTCGCTCTGAATTTGTCAGTACCCTTGCTTACTTCGTTCGCGTCGCCGCTCACACTCGCGTCTCCTCCATTCCAAATCCACCAAAGTCCACCGTCGTCACGGTAACCGGACTCCTCGTTCGCGCTCGCACCCCGCTCCAAATTAAACTTGGTCTGTCTCCATGGAGACGTTGTTCTTCGCGTCGGCGTCGAGCCTTTCTTTCTGGCCCAATCTTTACGCTTTATGAAGAGTTTGCGGTAGGTGTCAATGTCGAGCGACTCTAGTGTCTTGAAAAAGGCACTACTGCCAGTCGTCAAACCAACCACCTGCGTGGGTCATGATGATCCTCAGCGCCGCGATCGGGCTGGAAAAAGGCAACGAGCATGCACTCCAGTACCTCTCAAGGGGCTCTACCTTTGCACCCATCTGGTTCAGCTGTTTCGCAAAGTCGTTTACCTTCTTTGGTCTTTCAGGATTTGCGGTCGGGTTCATGTTGTGCGACAGTTCGACTCCAGTAGCGGCCCAGTACCAATCATATATTTCCTGGCGCGCCATTGCGCCGCATCCCTCGTGAAAACCCGCGAGCTTTTCCCCGTTATTCCGCCTCTTCAAATTTGTCACTCAACCAAGACAACAGGTCCTCATCCAAGTTCGCGCACTCGTCGTGGTCGAGTTCGCATGTCATGGTGGATGACGTTTCTGTGGATTCGCTCAGGGCTGACCTCCCGTTCGTAATTATCATCCAATATTCCTCTTCTTCATCGGGCAACGCCCCATCCATGGTTTCGAGATTGTTGTCTAAATCTCCCAGGGTTTTCCATGAACCGGGCTGCATGTGGGAGAACGCGTTCTGAAACTTCTCGCTCCGCTCCGTGGACTTGGTCTGGTCACCTGAAGACATCGTTAACTGTTGAAGTGCTTTGTGCTCGCTCACGGGTTTGCTTCCACCTCCTCAGGCCCTCGTGCGCCCAGTGGACTGTATATCCTCGAGGAAATTGGCAACGTGCACCGAGGCGTTCGCGTGACGTTGGCGTTCAATCTGAATGCGCTCATTCAAATTGTCGAACTGTCCTTCGCAATGCATTGAGCTTGATGACCGATATCAGAAGACGCGTTCGTATCGCAACACATATGTAGCATCGTGTACGACTCATTATCGTCAGCCGTCTTGGTACCAAGTGGGGCGATGCGCTCGACAAGTAGCCTCGCACCATGCATACGTGGTTGGCTTAGAAGGCGGTGGTAACGTATCTGGCATCTCCATTGTCGTTATAGGTTTTGCACCGTTCCGCAAATCGGTTCGTGCTCAGGTTGTACCCACTCTCTCGGGCCGCGGTTTCAGGTCACATCACAGACGGGGTCTGCTGGGCCTGGGTTCGGTATCGCTGCTGCGGCTGCAGCCACGGCCATCTCAGGGAGACAAATGCTGCGCCGAGCTCATGGGAGCAAGCGGTGAATATAACATTCTGGGGCGGACGAATACGTAAAACATAAGTTGGCCGGCCTGGCTGCCCCCACAAGAAGGGAGGGGGAAAGGAGGCCCACGGAGGGCGGACAATCGCGGGCTGTCTCGGGGGCCCGGGGGGTCCCTCGAGGCCAACAAAAGCTTGCGAACCAGACCCTTGAAGCATGAGATGTTCTGACGTCCTCCTCTTCCTCCCTCCCCTCCCCCTCCTCCTCTTCCTACTCTTCCTCCTCATTCTCCTCCTCCTCCTCCTCCTCCTCCTCCTCCTCCTCCTCCTCCTCCTCCTGCACCGCTTCCACCTCCTCCTGCTCCTCCTGCTCCTCCTGCTCCTCCTGCTCCTCCTGCTCCTCCCCCTCCTGTTGTTCCTTCTCCTCCTCCTCTTCTTCCCAACTGCCACAGTCCTCCGCGAGGACGACTGCGCCAACCACAGGGAGGACGAACAAGACGACGACAACGACGACGATGACGAGGGCTGAACATGCTGGGGGGCAGACGAATACAAAATCATGGTGGAAAAAGAGGACGAACACGAGGACGAGGACGAGGGGCGACGAACGACGACGGCGAAGACAACGACGACGACGACGCCGACGCAATGCGGATGCCCCACGGGTGGCGCTGCGTAGGCCCGCTGTGGTCGACGACGACTACGGCGACGACGGCGACGACGACGACGTTGAGGACGACGACGAGGACGACGACGACGGACGACTGCGCCGACCAGAAGGACCACGCAGAAGACGACGCAGACGAAGGATGAGGACGAGGACGAGGACAACGTCGGATGACGACGACAACGACTCATTGCGGATGCTCTATGGTGGGGGGGGGTGCTGCGCAGGCCCGCTGTAGTCGACGACGACGGCGACGACGAGGACGAGGATGAGGACGAGGACGAGGGACGACGGACGACGACGCCGACGACGGACGACGACGACGACGACGGCGATGACGACGACGACGAAAGACGAGAACGAGGATGAGGACGAAGGCGAGGGCGAGGACGACGACATCAGACTGGACGACGACGGCGACGACGACGAAGATGAGGATGAGGATCATGACGAGGACGAGGACGAGGACCAGGACGACGACGCTCTGCGGATGCCCTGTGGGCGGGGGGGGGGCCGCTGTAGTCGAGACGACGACGACAAAGACGACGTCGACGACGACGGCGACGACGAGGACGAGGATGAGGACGAGGGACGAGAACGACGAAGGACGACGACGGCGACGATGACGACGCACTGCGGATGCCCTATGGGGTGGGGGGAATGGTGGGGGTGATGCTGCGCAGGCCAGCTGTGATCGCTGACGACGTTGACGTCGACGTCGACGACGATGACGACGACGACAAGGACAAGGATGACCGAGGATGGAGACGAGGACGAGGACGACGGACGACGACACCGACGACGGCGGCGACGACGACTACTGTCTTCGGAGCGGATGCCCTATGGGGGAGGGTCCTGCGTAGGGCCGCTGTAGTCGACGACGACGACGACGACGACGACGACGACGACGACGACGGTGACGGCAGACGATTGAAAAATCATGTCTGGCGGCTGGATTTGATTTGCTTGCCCAGCAGAAGTATTGGGAGGCCCAGGGAGGGAGAGGGTGGTGGTGATCAACCCCGCGCGTTTCAAGCCGTGGGGCGAACCACGGGCTCCGCGATCATGAGAACCTGGCAGGAGCTTCTTGCCCTCTTCCTCCTCCTCCCTCTCCTCCTCCTCCTCTCCATTCTCCTCCCTCGCCAGAGGCTCTGGAGCCTCCTCCTTCCCCTTCTCCTGCGCTTCCTCCTCCTCCTCCTCCTCCTCCTCCTCCTCCTCCTCCTCCTCCTCCTCCTGAGCGGTCGCGGCCTCGCGCGCAGCGACGTGGCGCAGATACGCACACAGACGCCCGCGCCACGCACACATACAAATACACTTTCAGGACATGCCCGCCGCGCTTCTCACCATGGCGCCCGAAGGCCGGGGCAAACACGGGCAGCGTATGCGCCCACGAGCGCGGGGGGGCCGAGGCGCCACGGGGACCCCTAAGCGCGTAGGGCCAGTTGGTCACCGGCGCCGAGGAGATTGTCGACGGCTCCGCGGCCCAGAGGCTCAGCGACCCAGGGGCTCGGCCTTGGTGTGCACTGGCCCTGCCCTCCCTCTCTTCCTGCCCCGTCATCCTCGTCCTGCTCAAGCCCCTGCTCCTTATACTGAGAGCCATATTGTACGTCGGCTCGTGCCCTAGTCAACAGTCATCCTCCCACTCAGAATCCTCCTTCTGGTCAGTTCCGACCGTCCACCATGTCCTCCCTCCCTCTACGCACGTTTCTCGTCGTGTCGTGCGCTATCGCTACTGCGCAGCTTCGACTGAGAGCACACTCGCTAAAGAAACCTGGGTCCGACTTATGACACGCTGCTACATACGCCGACGCTGACCCAACCTCTCGAAAAACATTACGTGCATGTGCGGGTGATCGCACAGAAGCTGGGGAAGGCACGCTGGCCCAAGACAAACTTGAATCTTTCCATATGGGACCGTAGCTGTTTCCATGCAGGGAGGAGCTTCCAGACGAAGCAAACTGGCAAGCAACGATGATCTACCGCACGGAAACGAAAGTTCGACATGGGCCATAACGAGGCAACGTCGCGTTGAGGCAAGGAGAGCGGGATGATACGAGTGCCTATCGAAATATTCGCAAAAGAGTGCCTCGCATCGGGCATGGGGGGCGTCAGCCCCCTGCCGTGAACCTTGGTGTGCGTGCACGCGTGGAACACTGGGATCTCGACTATTGTGTCACATCGCCAGCGGAGTTAAAAACGTGGAGGGCAACGTTTGTTCACATCCTGCTGTGCACTTCAAGGCTACGTCAAGCATGCTCTGTGCACGTGTACAGTCACCGTGCTACAACCAGGAACGCCGAATGAGGAACGACCGGGACAATTCTGGCCACGGCGAGCCTCGGCCACGAACAAGTAGGCCCCCCCGACCTGGATCCAGCGAGCGGCCCGAGCACCAGAGCCCCTCCCGAGAGCAGGTGGTTCTTGTTGCAGCGTCTCGACTTTATGTTCTGGACCGACGCAGCACACACCAGACACATCCAGAACTTCCGTGATGATAAGGGTGCAGGTCGGAAATCTGTCCTTGCTGAACCCTCTGCTGCCCCTTATACTGCAAACGCTCCCATCCTCTACGGGCTTTGGCCTCTTGTGCCTCGCACACCAACGATGAGCAACACACAGCTCGAAGAAGACCGGCAAGGGGATGGCGCGGGGCCAGGGGTTGTGGCGGCGAGGGAAGACATGGCGCCCACTTACAATGTAAGCCACTCGGTGTCGCACCAAATCCACATGCGTATGTGTCAGAAGGTCTCGGCCTTGGTGTGCACCAGCCTCCTGCCAAAAGCGCACTGCCGAGGTTGTCTTTATCAACAACATCCTTGAATGCCCTGCTCGGCCGCGAGCGCGTTGCTCGGGCATCCGTTGACTGGGAGAGCCTTCGGTAACCCTCTGGACCACGCGGCTACAATCGACTTCCCTTGGCTTCCTAATTGCGGCACTCCACCAATTTTCATTTGCACGGCGCGGCGCCCTGCATCTCCAGACGGCTTGAGCTTTCGGAGCGCTGGTGTAGGAGGTTATGTACCATTCGAGTGTCAACTGACTTTGCTAATGGTAAGTCTCCCGCACAACAGATCATGACGCATCCGTCATTCCCGTGTTCTCGATCATGTCCATCACATTGTTTGTCCAAATGCGCCGCAAAGACCCCGCTGACATTCAAACCATCCGCGCCTATTCTCTCTGGGCTGGCTGTCTACTTGGCTGCTATTCCGCGTGTCCGTCGCTTGTCGCCGAACTGCTGCAAACTGCCGTGCCCCTACCGATGTAACAGAGGAGTCGGCAAGACACGTCCCTGTTACGGCGGCTCTGTGTAGAACCGGTAATGCATTCCTGGTTTCTGCCTCCCGTTTTCGGGGGACGCAGCTTCTGCGCTTTCTAATGCCTACTGCTTGTGGCTATTGTTCTCCTGCCTTCTCCACCGTTCGTCCTCGAACGCTCCTGGTCATGACCCCAAGGCGGTTCTTCTTGAATGGAACCGCGCTCAGACCTAGCTCGCTTCTTCGCGGTATTGTGATCGGAAGCACCCTAGTACTGCTGCGATTTAACATTCTGAACGGCAATGGCTGCACCAACTGGGAGATAATGCGCGCCGGCTGTATAATCAACGTGACCTTCGATTCACTGGCAGAATGCACAGGACATCTTCAGCGTAGCCCCCTTACTCACCATTCCCTTCACTTTTCTTTTTCCTGTCATCATGGTCCTCCTTCTGCTCCTGATGGTGCTGCTGCTACTTCTCCTCATCCAATCATGAGATCGGGGAGAATTCGATGCTCAACGGAGCGGAACGAACGACTGCTGATAGCCAGAGTCAAAGCGGGATCACGCACAACAGGCTGAAGTCGTCGACCCTCCATCGAGCGACCACTGTCAAAGATATTTGTGAGGGATGGTGCGTTCCCCGAAGCGTCCATCGCTCGTTTCCAGCAACGACTGACAGCAGGAATGGGGAATCCCCATAACGATTACCTGACGCCGATCCATAATCGCGCGAGAAGCTGGAACACAAAACAATGGGTTGGATTCACATACAGACCCTTGAAGGCCGTCGCAACCGTCCGCGACGGGGTCGACGTGCTGCCGCATGTGCACCCAGCTCTCGCCCAGACCAGCCGCGGCACGTCCGCGCGGCCATACATTCTCGACGTCGGCGTCGCTCGCATGGGCGAGACCCAAGAGCGAGAGGGTCTCGGGTTCGGGGCCCTGGATTTGACCGAGCTCGTCGCGGCCCCCTGAAACGCCTAGATCCACCGAACTTTCGGCAACCCCCAGCTCGTATGCCTCAGCGCCACCCTGGTGGGTATTCCGCGGACGGGGACTTCGATGGCTGCACGAGCTCGGCGCTTTCCTGCCACTCTCCTGCCGCCCTCCCGCGCGCTGCCGCAGCACCCGTCGCTAAGAGCCCGCCCCGGTGGCGCTGCGAACGGCCTCCGCGGCAGGTGGCCGGCCGCCGTCCGCGAGAGGCGGGCCCCCCCTCCGAGCGAGCGGCCGTGCAGTGCCCGGAGCGCGCGCAGCGCAGGCAGCCCCCCAGGGCCGCGCACGCGTCGTCGGCCGCGCAGGGCGGGCCCCTGCGGCCCAGCACGCAGCGCGGCGAGGCCTGCGGTGGCCGCGGGGAGGAGGAGAAGGAGGAGGAGGAGGAGGAGGGGGAGGAGGAGGAGGAGGAGGAGGAGGAGGAGGAGGAGGAGGAGGAGGAGGAGGAGGAGGAGGAGGAGGAGAGAGGAGGAGGAGGAGGAGGAGAGGAGGAGGAGGAGGAGGAGGAGGAGGAGGAGGAGGAGGGGAGGGGGAGGAGGAGGGAGGAGGAGGAGGAGGAGGAGGAGGAGGAGGAGGAGGAGGAGGAGGAGGGGAGGAGGAGGAGAGAGGAGGAGGAGGAGGAGGGAGGGGGAGGAGGAGGAGGAGGGAGGGAGGAGGAGGGGAGGAGGAGGAGGAGAGGAGGAGGAGGCGGTGGGGGCAAGGCAGTTGCGACACCTACGTGCGCATGCCGAGCTCTTTGCGCCACGTCGTGCACGCATGCTCCAATTAACCTCCAGCTGTTTTCTTGAGATCGGGGTGACTCCAACCTTCGGGCCAACGTTGACTCCTTCGATTTGTTGGCCCTGCCTCGCCTTCGAAGGCGGCCAGGTTCCAGCATTCGGATTGAAAGCAGCCTTGGCGACGAGGTCGGCACGCTCGAAAACTCAACGCAACAACCGAGCCGTTCGCAATCGATCCTTAAGTCGACGACGGCAGAGAGAGACAGAGAGATACAAGACAAACCAACCTGTTTATCACAGGCGCTCGCCGCGAGCACAAATGCTGCGCGCGGGGCGGCGCCCCCCCCCCACCTTCCTGCGGCGACAGCATGAGGAGGGGGAGGAGGCGGGTGGAACGGGGAAGGCCCAAGACGGACCACGGGACCGACCCTGAAACCCCAGTCGGGGTCTTCGAGAGGTTAAACACACATACGCATCACTGACACTGACACAGACACAGACGCAGACGCAGCCACAGCCACACACACACACACGCACATACACACGCACACAAACACACACACACACACGCACGCACGCACGCACGCACGCACGCACGCACGCACGCACACACACACACACACATTCACACACACACATACACACATGCACACGCACATGCACATGCACATGCACATACACATGCACATACACACTGCCTATGAACCCCAGCCGAAGGCTCTCTTGTTCGGATTTAGCACTAGGACCCCGCCCGAGAAAAGGAGGAGGGAGGAAACCCTGTGACAAAAAGAACAGAGGCGCAAATCTTTGGAGTGGGGAAGGGCAGCAGAAGACGCCCCGCTCGTAGGCGTGGCGACCGTGCGGGCCGAGATCACAAGATCCGCGGCACCAAATTCGTAATGTAGGTAATCGAACTCTATACACCGACGCTTCTTCGGGCCCTGCATTGGAATTTGCACTGGAGAGCGGATCCTGGTGAATACGGGACCCTGGTGTATACATTGTTCGTTGCTTCCTCGGAACATCGGGCAAAAAAGTTTATACCACACCACCCCAGCGTCGTCCTCGACCCTCAAGAAGTCCTGGGATTGAAAAACAGCCCGCCACTGGTAATGTATATGTTCCAGTTCCCGGTAATGTTCACAGCGTTGACATACTTCGGCCTGTGGATGCTCGCATTCAGCGGCGTTCGTTCCACATGCGGACGTTGCGCTTCGGAGCGCACGAAATCACGATGGCCGCGACAAGGGAGAAGGTGCAAGTGCAAGTCCATCGGCCACAGGGCGAACGTACAACACTTTTTTTAACCATGCGACCAGGGCGCCCCGCGGCTGAGGAGGGAGGGAGGAGGAGGGGGGAGGGGAGGCGCGCCGAATTACCAATTAGGCACAACTGGGTGGGGACAAGAGAGGACAGGACGAGAACTCCCAGAGGACCACGCGACGCGTCACCCTGCTGCGAATTCCTCTGTCCCTGGCCACCGTGCCCATCGTGCCCCCGGTGCCGCGACCCTCTGCAGGGCGGGACCCTTTTGGCGGAGAAGACCCGCCTGGTCGGCTGGGGCTGCCGGTCGGCTGCGGGCGGCCCCTGACTTTACCAGCCTGGAACATATCCCTATCCCTAAGCTGGGCATGTCCTCGTCACGATGCCATTCTTAGGAAATCCCTTATTTTTTGAGGGCGCATCCCTAAGATCATCATCTCCTTTAGGCGTGTCAATCTTAGGGATAGGGATAAGTTCAAGGCTGGTGATGACTATACAGGCGGGCGCAGGGGGCTCAGCGGACACTCCGCCACGCCGGTACCAAGAGTCTCGTTCCACGGGCGCCGTTTCGATCCGTGGGCTTGGGGGCAACGCTCCCCATGCTGAGCCGACACCAGCGGACTGTCGCAGGAAAACTCAGTCGTGCGTCGCAGCTTTCGCGGGGGACGGCTGTCGCTGCACTGCTCTGCCTACCGTTCGTAGCTCCACGGAGCGTTCTTAGGTGCGCTGGGTTCTCCACCCTTGGCCCTGCTGGACCTGCTCCTCGCCTTCGGAGGAGGACCAGCCGGTGGTCGGAAGCAGTTGGGTCCCGTGCTGCGGATCCCGAAACGCCGCCATGATGCGCCCATGGCGCCCGCCTAGCTGGCCGAGCAGCGCGCGGCGATGTGGCCGCGAGCAGTACGCGTCTCCATGTCAGTCGGCACTGGTTCGTCAGCCCAAAACTTAGGGCCACCGAGCCACTCCGGCAGATCAGGGTCGATCGCCCGAGTATAGCCTACCCCGCTGCTCATCAGATGCGAGGTCTGCCGCGTCGAAATGCGCGGAGTTTTTGCGACGCTTGCCACTGCGGGCAACCAGTATCCCATCGGTCGCACACGGTGGCGCACAGACGACCATCCTTGTCCGTCTTTGCGGTGAACTAACACATGAGAACCTTCTTCTCGGCTACAGCGTTACCCCGGACAGTCTGGGTTCCACGGTACACGTTGCGCTCGCCAGCGACGACGTTCAGGAAGCTTGGACCCATTTGCTCGAGCTCAGTCCGAACCTGATCGAGGTCGAACCTGTGCGTTTTGAAATCCTCGCGGGGCGGGGCTGAGCAACCTGGGCACGTCGCGCTGCGAGGCCCGCTGCCCGATGGCAAAGGGCGCTTTCGCCGCGGGCGCATCGTGTCGAGGCGCTACTCCGCCAACGCGAATGGGCAATCGCAGCGTTCCCTGGTCGCTGTCTTGAGGGTAGCGGGGCCACGACGCCGCACCTGCGTGCGTTCCCAGCGATCAGAGAAGCGCGTTCAGCAGCGGTCTGCGCTTCTGTGCTCTAGGCCGATCTTGGCGCGGCCTCCCTTCGCGCTGTGGCTTCCTGATACTTGCCTCCACGGTGGGAAGGCGTGGCGGGCGATACCAGCGGAATTGCTCCCGACGAAGTTCGTGATGCCTTGTGCCGAGGCGAAGCGAGCAGCGGTGCCATGCTGTGCTCTACTTTTCGCTATCGTCTTGCGAGCGTTCGTTGGAGGGTCCTGGGTCTCTTGGTTCGGCGAAGACCTCGTTGATGCTCGGGCCAGCGTCTACCCGAATCGTGCGCTAGAGCTCGTTAGGTTCTCGGACCCTCTGGACAACTGAAACGATTTTTTCTGTGATGCCAGCGTCCCGCACGCGGCTCGCCTCATTAACCTGCATGCCAATCTCGTCGGCTGCATCATCATATCACTTCTGCGCGGCCTCGCACCAACAAACACCAACACTGGTTCGGCCACGTTGTCGGTGGACGTATCGCAACAAGAGGTGTGTATATATATATACACACAAATGACAGCATCGAAATCCTCTTTGTGGCCCGCGCAAGCCGAAGGTAGCATCTCGAGCATCCTGCCCAAGGATGGTAAACCCGGGAACGCGGGAAGGACTCTCTCATCGAGGGGGCTCTCGTGCAGCTGCTGCTCGAACATGGCATGTCGGTCTCTGTGGAGTGCCATGTTCTGAACCCTGGTGCTACAATCGGAACTACCGGAGGCCGAAAGCCGCAGCGGCTGTGATCACATGCGTCCCGCGCCACCCAGAACGGCGCTCCGTGGCCCGATGGGTAGCTCCACCGAAGGCCCCTGTGGTTGTGTACGCATGCGTTTCGCGCTAACCAGCACGGCGCTTTGTGGCCCCATGGAGGGCTCCACCGAAGGCCCGAGCGGCTGTGATCACAGGCGTCCCGCGCCACCCAGTACGGCGCTTCGCTCACCGAAGGCCGTGGCTGTGAACGCATGCGTCCCGCGCCACCCACGTCGGCGTTTCATGGCCCCACAGGGAGCTCCACCGAAAGCCCCACTGGCTGTGACCGCATGCGTCCCGCATCACCCAGCACGGCGTTTCGTGTTACCGTGGCCCCATAGGGAGCTCCACCGAAGGCCCGAGTGGCTGCGTCTCCCCCACCCAGTACGGCGTCCCGTGGCCTCCTGGGCAACTCCACCGAGGGTCCCAGTGGCGGTGTTCGTATGCGTCCCGCGCCACGTAGTACAGCGCTCGTGGCCAAAAGGGAGCTCCACCGAAGACGATACTCACGGATGCGGTACTCACAGCTGCATATGAGTGGGTCCTTGGCCCAGCGAGTGAGTGTATTTTGCGTTTTCTCTGCTCACGTGCCGCACGCTGCGTGCTCGCCAACCTGTGCGCATCTGTGTAGGGCAGCGTTGAAACCGCAGCCTCCCTGCACACGCCCGCACGTACGATGCACCTCCACCATCCATGCCAACGAGGTCGCTGGCCAGGAAGCCACGCCATGCGCGCACAGGGCCGCGCGCGCCATACTCCCGCAGAAACAGCACTTGCAACATCGCCCTGCCGAACCAGACCTGGACAGCGCCTCCACGAGAAATGCCACGAGCGAGCGAGCAAATCAATGGCGGGCGACTGGGGGCCCGCGGGCGCCGCCCGGGAATCCCGGTGTCGCACATGCCAACTTCATGATTGGCACATGCCGGCGCTGTATTTGCATAGCTCGCGGCGCCTCGCCGTGCACTTCTGCATGGGGGAAGGGCAAATGGCTGCGAGGGACGGAAACGCTGGGCTCCTCCTCCTCCTCCTCCTCCTCCTCCTCCTCCTCCTCCTCCTCCTCTTCCAACTCCTCCTCCTGGCGATGACGAGCTGACGAGCTGAAGTCGCAAGAGTCCGTCGGACGCCGCCCTCCCTGCCCTCCTTCTCCTCCTCCTCCTCCTCCTCCTCCTCCTGCTCCTCCTCCTCCTCTTCCTGTTTTTTCTGTCCTCCTCCTCCTCATCTGCGTATTTCTCCTCCTCCCCTTCTCCCCCTCGTTCTGCCCATTGCGGCGCTGTGCGAGCATGTGCGGCCGCGCGTGGCCGTGCACCCCCTCGCGGCCACGAGCGGCGCCGTGTGCGGGCATGTGCCGTCGTCCGCTACGGCGTGTGCGGCCATGTGCGGAAGTGCGGGGCGGAGGCCTGCTGTGCGGAACTGTGCAAGCCTGTGCGGCCCCGCGCGGCCCTGTGTAGCCGCGCGGCCACGAACGGTGACATGTGTGGGCATGTGCGGCGCCATGTGCGGGCTTGCGAGAGCAGCGCCGGGGCAAACGGCTGCGGTGTGGGCACCTCGCGTATCGCCCGATGTACGTAGCGCTGCTGAGCTGCTCATACATGCTGCACAAGCGGTTTCCGCGCACGCCACGCACATGCGAGTACAGTCGCAAAGCGCTCACGGACGGGGGCGGAGCCAAAATGCTAGTGGAAAGCTCAGGGCATGCCCCCGCACATGGCCGCACCACGTGCACACGCCACTAGATCAGCGCACGCTCCGATGTCGACCACGCCTGCCCATGCGGGGCACGTGCCGCGCACAGATCCGCACCTCGAGCGCAGATGCCGAGCCAACATCGCCGGCACACGCCCTGGAACGGCACGAAGATCGACGGCCCTGGGTATCCCAGCCGCTTGCCCTGAGCACAAGTGCCGCGCGCGGGGCGGGGGGCGCAACACGAGGGGGGGCAAGAGGAGGGGCAGGCAGAACGGGGGAGGCCCGCAGCGGACCACGGGACCGACCCCGACACCCCGAGCGGGGCTCTCGCCGAGGCGAAGCGCGCCGACCTCGAGGGGCAAAGCACATCCTGCGGCCTCTGGCGAAAGTCTTCAGGCCCGTCTTGGGCCTCCTGGGTCCCCAAATCGAGCCGAAGGCGGCGCCCTGGCACGGGCGACCGCCCCTGGGCGCGGAAAACTGTGCGACGGTGCTGCGCGCCTGGCAGGTGTGCATGCGAGCGTGCACGTGCTGTTCGCTCCGTGGCCGCGATCGGGCCCAGAAGTCTGCCGACACGTCCTCCTCGAAAGACCTAGGCGGAGCAAACGATGCGCAGTCTTAGCTTAAGAGCTCGTTGGCTTCATCTCGCCGCCCTTAGTCCGCAGACAAATGCACGCTCCCTGCAGGTGGAAGAAGAGGGGGTCCAGGCAGCAGTGAGGGGGAGAAGGGAGGGAGTGGAGAGACAGCATGGGACTTCCTGGCCTTGGGTTGCTCATCGAATCACTGCCTTGACCAAGTCCTGAGGGTAGGGAACTTCATCGGTTACAAGCACATTGTGTCAGAAATTGTTTTTCATTGCGATGGCATGGATTGCCTGGGGGGGCCGGCCGACACCTTGACCATCTCGCTGTGATTCCCCATCGGCCTCTGGGAATCGTCGGCCTACGCGCGCGCGCAAGCCCACGCGCGCCAGAGGCGCACGTTTGTGTGCGCCACATGCACAAGCATGTGGACGTCACGAGCGACAAGGTTGGTGATCTGGCTGGCGGGCGGGACCCCATCCCTAGGGAGCCCACAAAGGACGTACGCGCCCAACTATGTACATGAACACGGCCCCTTGACCCACGAGACCAGCCGCGTGATACGAACAATCGCGCAATGCGAACTCTCGAAACCAACGTGGATTCATGTACGTGTACGTCCTTCTTTCGCTCCTGAATCCCCGAGGTCATCGCCAGACCCGTCAAGAACACTTCGGCGCTCGAAACCCGAGACGGCGCCACAATTGTCTCGGTTGCTGCGATGTTTTTGGTATATGGCGCCCTTGATCATCACAGCTCGGCGGTGCTCCACCAACTCCCCACGTGGACTCGACTGGACGAGCCAAGCGCACCTTGGAGGCTTCCAGTCGCTACGGCCATGTAAAAACCACTCGCGAGCAGCTCGGCCTGCCTGAACGGCCTGAACCCTCACCGTTCGGGCGTGGCCTTCGCGTTCAAGAGCATGCCCATGGGCTCACGAGCCGAAACGAAGGGCATTGAACTCAATGTGTGACCAGCAGAAGAAAGGAACACCACCCTTCCCTGCATGGTTTCCCCCGGGGCCGTAGGCGACCCGAGGAGGAGGAGGAGGAGGAGGAGGAGGAGGAGGAGGAAGAGGAGGAGGAGGAGGAGGAGAGGAGGAGGAGGAGGAGGAGGAGGAGGAGGAGGAGGAGGAGGAGGACGGGTCGCCTAAGCCCTTCGGAGAAACCCTCCACCCTTCCCCCCACCTGTTGGCAGCAGCCCCCTCCCCCTCCCCTGCTGGGGCCTCCTCCTGCGCCGCGGGCTCGGGACGATGCTCCAGATGCCGCGCTGGCTCTGCCGCGATGGCCCCACTGGTCGCAGGGGCCTCGGGGGATGGAGGAGGAGGAGGAGGAGGAGGAGGAGGAGGAGGAGGAGGAGGAGGAGGAGGAGGAGGAGGAGGAGGAGGAGGAGGAGGAGGGAGGTGGAGGAGGGGGAGGGGGGGGGGAGGGAGGAGGAGGAGGAGGAGGAGGACAGGCGAGCCCATAATCAGCCCGATAAATCGGATCGGTGATCGAAGTGAATCGGATCGGCGGAAATCGACAGCCCAAATCGGCAGCCCAAACCTCCAGTGAGAAATCAGAACTCAAATCGGAGTCCGAAACCGAATCGAATCGGAACCGGAATCCATCGAAGTCCCCTTTCCGTCTGGTGACAACGGAGGTTGCCACGTCAAGCCCCTTTGCGTCTTGGGGTGTTTGAGAGTAGCAGGTCCGCAGGTCTTTGAGAACACGTCGATAGGTCTTCTACTTGACCACAACCTACTGTAAGGGGCTGCGTGTTATTGTGCTCATGTTATCCCCTCCTCTTATACCCTCTCCACTACCCGCCTATCCCAGCAAATTTCCACCGACGCCTTGGCGCAACGTCTGCCACGCGCGGCGCGTCAGGCTCGAAGTCGTCTCTGCGCTTGCGGTTGGTGGCACGCCTCCCTTTGCGGGGCTTTCGCCCTCTCTTTCAGTCAGCCCGTCAACATCTTCAGAGGCTTGCCTGGCAGCCATCTGCAGCAAGCAGCAACACCTCCTCTCCCCCCCTCTTGCCTCCTCTGCGCCAAGGGGGTAAGGGGGAGGGGGGAAGGCTTCCGAGAAAGAGGCTGCTTGTTGGAAGGCCCCCGCCTTCCATCTACAGACAAGGCCCGCGCCTTCTAAGAAGCAGGGGTGCTTCTAAGAAATTCCCCCCTCTCCCCTTACCCTGTCCCCTTACAGGCGGATTTTGGACGAACAATAAGAAATATTCAAAACATGCTCCCTCCAAAAATTGGCCAAAAATCGTCCCCACACTATTTTGGAGCTATTTTGAAATTTTCCTCCTGAAGAGGGACGTGCCCGACTCAACCGTATCTGCGCGTGGCCGAACGCCCTCGTCTGGCAGGGCCCCCTGTGGCTCCTGCGGGCGCTGGCCCCGGCTATCGCGGCGCGCCCAGAACCGCGGCCACAGCCGCATGCAGGGGCCCCGCCCCCAGGGACATCCCGCGGCAGGCGCGCCGGTGGCGGGCCCAAACCCCAACCCGCGATCCACCCGCGACCCGGCCTGCGACCCGGCCTGCGACCCGGCCTGCGACCCGGCCTGCGACCCACCCGCGACCCACCCCGCGACCCACCCACATTGCTCCAACAGAAAATCGGCGCCAGCGGCGGGCTCGTGGTAAACTCGCGGGCCTCTTCCGGGCCTCTTCAGGGCCTCGCGGTCTGCAGACGTCCCCGCTGCTCGCTCACTCTTATCCGCGACTGCCGAGTGCGGTGTATTTCTGAAAGCACCTGTTCATCTCGCCGGCGGCGCATGCAGGCGGCAGCCCGCTGAGTCCTGAGCGTTTTTGGAGCAGCGGGCCGCATGACCTCTCCTGCCACTGCGACGTCAGCGGGCCCGAGCCTGGCGCTGGGGTGCTGGAGGTCCTCTGGGAGCAGCTGGCGCGCTGTGGGCCAAATGACCTGCAGGTGGCGACTTGCCCTGTCTGCCCGACCTGCTCTTGTTCGGCCTGCCATGAGGTTGCGTCCCTGCAGCAGGACAACCTCCTCGCGAGCCTCGGCATCTGCGCTAGGTTCGCGGCAAGCGTTCTCGCCGTGTTTTGCTGGTTGGCAAGAGGAGATAGGACGCCTCGCGGGGTCGCGGGTGGGTCGCGGGTGGGTCGTGGGCGGGTCGCGGGGTGGGTCGCTGGTGGGTCGCGGGTGTGTCGCGGGGCGGATCGCGGGTGGATCGCGAGTGGGTCGCGGCGTGGGTCGCGGGTGGGACGACGCCAAACAACAAACAACAAACAACAAGCACCACCACCACCACCACCACCAACAACAACAAATAACAAACACCACTAGCAACAACAACACCAACAACAACAACAATAATCCGCATCACGGAATTATGAATGAACGATCTACGTATCAAACGTTTGAAAATAATGGCGAGTCACTAAATGTGGGACATCCACGTTGGGACAATCATGGGACAATCCAGGGACAACAGAGGACAACCAAAGGCACATCACGCAACAAGCATGTGGAAACTGCGGGACGTTCGACGGACAGCTGCGGGACAACCACGAATACGACCGCGGGATAACCGCGGAACAAACGGGGAACAACCATAGGACAACCACGGGACAACCGCGGGACAGCCGCTTTGAGCTGGCATAACCGCCAGGACAATCATCGGGAAAACCACCGGGGCAATCGCAGGACAACCACGGGTTACTCCCGGCACAACCGCTGGACACCCCCGGAGCCACAGAGCGCACAATGGGGGCGACGCCATCTGCCGTCGCAGGGGCAGGATCTCCCTCACCCTCGTGCAACGTCGCCCCGCCCGCACGCGCGTCGGGCACGGCACGAAACCACAGCGAGATCGACGTTCCAACTTGGTGGCCTCCTCACTACTTTTACCAGCCTCGAACGTATCCCTATCCCTAAGATTGACACGCCAAAAGCCGAGGACAATCTCAGGGATTCGCCCTCAACAAATAAGGGAATCCCTGAGATTGGCATCGTGATGCGGAGGCGCCCAGCATAGGGATAGGGATATGTCCCAGGCTGGTCACAGCCTTCAACCCTGCACTCCACGCAGGGGTTCTGCGTCGAGCGGCGCGCCGGACGGCGGGCCCAGGACCAACTGCATGCCACAGCCGTCGTACCCCAGCCCCGCTTCCCAATCCCAGGAGAGCTCAGAGTCGAATCGAGAAGTCGGATCGGCGATCGAAATCGATCGGATCGAATCCGAAGTCGAATCGAATCGGAGTCGGAAGCCATCGAGATCGAATCGAGTCGAATCGGAGGAATCGAAGCGAGCCCTGCAATCCCCATCTCGACCGCGCCATTACCTACTCGTCCTCTTTCGCGGCTGCCCCCGACGCCTCCCCCTCGGCAGCCGCAGGGCGCTCGGCGGAGCCCGCCGGCGCGGCCGCGCCAGCGCCGCGGAGACTGGACGCCCCGCAGCGCCGCGCGAAGTCGCGGACGGGCGCGAGGGTCCACCTGGGAGGGGCACCGCTTCGGCAGCGCATCGGCTTGGGAGCATGAACAGCTGGAGGATCAGCAGAGGGAGGAGGAGGGGAAAGGAAGTGGGCAACGACGAGGAAGAAGACCTCGGATGCAGAAAGGTGTTCCGCGCTGGGGCGGGAGCGGCATGCTGCCTGACAGGAGCAAAGCTCTGATCCTGAGGCGTGGCATATGCTGCCGCAGGGGGCGAAGACGCTCCGACCGAAATGTTTGAAACTCTGTGTGCGGGAAAGGCGTCTGCACCAGTGGGCAACATCGGGGGAGAGGGAGGCGAATCGTGCTCGTGTGTGCGCTAGTTGGGCAGCTGTGCGAGGAGAGAGAGAGAGAGAGAGAGAGAGAGTGGCAGAAAGAGAGAGAGAGAGAGAGAAAGCGAGAGAGAGAGAGAGAGAGAGAGCGAGCGCGAGAGAGAGAGAGAGAGAAAACAAAAGGAAGATCAGGAGGAGGGGGGAGGGGAAAGCAAGGTGCGCTCGCGCCAGGTCTGCCATCTTCCCCTCCCACATATCCCTGCCCAGTTGATTCTGATATTTCTAGCTTGTCTGGGAATATCTAACTGTTCCCCACGCTACCTCCTACCCTCCTGCCGCATCCTCTTCCTCCTGCCTGCTGCGTGCTCCTTCTCCTGCCTCCTCCACTACTACAACGACTACTACGACTACTACTACGACGACGACCACTACTACTACTACTACTACTACTACTACTACTACTACTACTACTACTTCGACTACGATTGCGACCACTGGTACTACTACGGCAACCACAACAACTACTACTACTACGACCATTCCTACGACTCCTACTACTCATACTACTAGTATTATGGCTACGACTACGACTACGACTACTACGTCTACTACCACTACTACTAATGATAATACTGAAAATAATAATAGCAATAACAGTGCTACAACTACAATTACAACGACAACACCTACTACTACTATCATTACAACCACTACTACTACTATGACGGCTACTCCGCCAACGATTATCACTACTACTACTACGACTACTACTACTACTACTACTACTACTGGCACTAGTTCCCTTACTATTACTCGTACCTGCTCCACTACTACTATTACTAGTACTACTGCTCCCACCACTACTACTACTACTACTACTACTACTACTACTACTGCTACTGCTACTGCTACTGCTACTGCTACTGCTACTGCTACTACTAGGACTACTACGACTACTGCTACCAATACTACCAGAACGGCCACTACAACTACCACTATTTCTGGCACGAATACTACTACGTCTATTACTACTACTACTACTGCTGCTACTACTACTACTACTACTGCTACTACTACTACTACTACTACTACTACTACTCCTCTTAATACTACCACTACGACGGCGACGACGACTACTATGACGGGTACTACCACTACTACTACGAATGCTACCACCAACGCCACTTCTACGACTACTGCTGCTACTACTACTACTACTACGATTCCCACTACTACTACTACTACTACTACTACTGCTACTACTACTATTACTACTACTACTACTGCTACTACTACTACTACTACTACTACTACTACGATCACTACTACTACTACTACTACTACTACTGCTACTACTACTACTACTACTACTACTACTACTACTACTTCTTCTAGTACGATTACGACCGCTGGTACTACTACGGCAACAACAACAACTACTACTACTACTACTACTACCACTCCTACGCCTCCTACTACTCATGCTACTAGTATTATGGCTACGACTACGACTACGACTACTACGTCTACTACAACTACTACGAATAAGAATACTGCTAATAATAGCAATACTATTGCTACACGTACAAGTACAACAATAACTACTACTACTACTATCATTACAATCACTACTACTACTACTACGACGGCTACTTGGACAACGAACATCACTACTACTACTACTGCTACTACTACGACTACGACTACGACTACGACTACGACTACTACTACTACTACTACTACTACTACTACTACTACGACTACTACTACTACTACTACTACTAGTACTGCTACTAGTTCCATTACTATTACTCGTACCTGCTCCACTACTACTATTAGTAGTACTACTGCTCCCACCACCACCACTACTACTACTACTACTACTACTACTACTGCTACTACTACTACTGCTACTGCTACTCCTACTAGGACTACTACGACTACTGCTACCAATACTACCAGAACGGTCACTACAACTACCGCTACTTCTGGTACGACTACTACCACGTCTACTACTACAACTACTACTACTACGGCTACTACTACGACGACGACGACTACTACTACTACTACTACTACTACCACTACTGCTACTACTACTACTACCACTCCTCTTAATACTACCACTACGACGGCGACGACGACTACTATGACTACTACTACTACTACTACTACTACTACTACTGCCACGAAGGCTACCACCACCACAACTTCTACAACTTCTACAACTACTACTACTGCTACTACTACTACTACGATTCCCACTACTACTACTATTACTACTACTACTACTACTACTACTGCTACTACTACTACTACTCCTACGGCTACTTCTACTATTACGACCACTACTACTACTACTACTACTACTACTACTGCTACTACTACTACTACTACTACTACTACTACTACTCGTACTGCTACTACTACTGCTACTCCTACTACTACTACTGCGATTACTCTTGAAACTTCTACTACGACAACTATTACGGGTACGACGGCGACTACGATTCCGACTCCGACTCCGACTGCGACTAACACAATGACTACAGCGACGACACCGACTACGACGGCGACGTTGACTACTACGTCTATTACTACCAGCACTACTACAGCTAATCCTACTACTACTACTACTTCTACTACTACTGCTACTACTACTACTACTACTACTACTACTACTACTGCTAGTACTACT